TTGACTGTGCCCGGTCCATCAGCATAATATCAGGCTTATTCACAAGAATAGTATTGTCTGTGATGATGGCTCGGTCCCAGTAGAGCCTGGCGCGGTCATTTTCGAGCACGGCTTCTGGCAAGTACTTATAATATGGCAGTTTCCGATTCCACGAGACCGTATTTCAGAGCGAGTTCCTGGTGTAGAATCCTGGCTACTAGGTTGTGTTTGTGCAAATACTCAGAGTTAGAAAGCGCCGATCAACCGGAGATGACATGCCTAAGTGACTCACCGGGATGGCAAGCTAGACAGATGTCGACGGCGCCATCCTTTAGGATGTATTTCCGATAAATATTTGTCTTAATAACCTGATCCTGTATTGCACAGACAAAACCCTCAATTTCCCCAAAGTGATCACCGAAACGTAGCCAGTGGAGGGAGGCGACTGCGTCTACGAAAGGCTTATGAAGGGCCTTGTAGAACCTCACGTGGAGCTCTTTCTCCTTCCATACGTTCTCCTGGTCGGAAATGCTCTGTACTACCGAGGTCTTGCCATTGCTCGTTGGCTAAGGATAGGGGGGTTAGCCTTTTATCACAAGAAATAACGTCCCTGTAGTATGGATCATCCGCTCTCGTCCGAAAGTAATTACGAAGGCTGCACACTTCGCAATTATGCATGGTAAGCGCGCTTAAGAAGCCGCGCCCACCATGTTTACGCGGCAAGTACAGCCTCATTACTGACGATCACGAATGATGCATGCTGTGGGACGTCATTATAGTGCGGGCTTTTTTGTCCAGGGCGTTCAGTTCGGTCTGAGTCCACCTGAGGTTTACATAAGAACAGGCATGTCCAACCGTTATATGCTTGCGTCTTATTTACACCGGACAAAAGGCTATTAAGCACTTTGGTCAAGCGTGCATAAAACACATCGCTAACTGACCGTTTCATACCCGCCTCATCCACACCAATGTTCTGTGACATACCCAGGTATAGGTATGTTTCACCTCGGAAACGGTCCTTATGCTTATGGGCATAGATAAGTCTATGCCCTCAGAGTTAGCAACCCTTCCCCTTTCGACATGGAGTATCGCACCCTTATCCGTCTCCAGCTCCATTCCAATAGAATTACTAAAATCACAAGTGATGTTTAGCAATTCCATAAGATGGGAGCGACTGGAGGCGAATAACTTGAGATCATCCATATAGAAAAGGTGGGTCACTTTTGTACCTCCTTTCCGAAGCTGAAATCCTCCAGTAAAGTACTGAGATGGTTATTATTATTATTTTTTTATTATTATTATTATGAATTATTATGTGGTAAGTGTAACGTTTTTACATCTGGTTAGGAAATATAAATATATAATTGTAAATAATCATGGTAAACGTACATAAATATCAATAAAATAAAATAAATACATAAAAAATACATAAATATATAAAAACCCAACCAGATGGAAGCCCTCGGCAGGGGAGACCTTTTATGAATTATTATTATTATTATTATTATGGACCTACCCCTAAGACTGCCTCGTAGAGGAATATTTTCCATAATTGCCAGCTAGGCGCGTGAGTTGACAACTACAGTTATTTTATAGGTTTTATTAGAAAGAAGATGCTGCCCATCCCCTAGTTTGTTTTCCTCTATCGACTCCTACGAGATAATAAGGTGCAGTGGATTACCTTACGCCGCCGCTATACGGCAGCAAACTGCAAATATTATCTCCAGAATTTAATGCTTGAACTATACGCACCTACCGATAACATTTATTTACATAGATATTTCTTTAACGTCTTCAAAACAAATGAGTGGGAATACCCAATTCGCCAGATATCTCATATTAAGCTTAAAACAATTAATAATAATACAAACAAACACAATAAATAAAATTACAAAATTAATAATTATTACAAATGATAACAAGTGGTCATAAACCTGTAACGGTATTAGTGTTTGTAGGCCTACAAAAAATATTCCGGGTCTGATTCATCATATGAAAAGAATAAGGGTAATAAGCGCGCACATAGTTGTCTAGTAAGCCCAATTCTTTAAAAAGGGTCAGTAGTTTGCCATACACTCACCATACGAAACAGAGCAGCATTAAGCTGCTGTTTTACGCTGGTGAGAGCGGGGGTCATTCTATTCTTGAATTAATTTATAGTAACCTCAAGTTAAAGCAATATTAACTGCGTTTGATACATTAAGGTCCGGTGTTCTAATTTAAAACTTAAGTATAATTTATGAAATAATAGATGGTGGTCGGCGCGTTGCAGCCGCAGGAGAAAAATTGTGAAAATATCGTTTTATATTTATAAGTGTTATATTGTTTCAGTAGGATAGCTAATACATCAATTGAAGTTGAATGATATATAACTTTCAAATAAATTTTTCAGTACAACCTGATGTACGGTATGACAGCGCAGCGCAAAATACGAACAAATACACATTAATTTTTAGATATTAGATTACCATTAAAAACAATAGAGAAGGTAGCTGGGTGCTACCATCTGCTTGAGATACCATAATTAATAAAATTAAATCCCAACCCAAGCATACAACTGCAAGATTTCAAGATACTGTAAGTTCATACTGCGTAGATCAGAACAAAAATTAATAATTTTTAATCTGGAGGTAACCGTGGTTAACTATGACATTGAGACATCATACACCTCAGTCCCCCCGTAACCATGGGTGCTGTAAAGTGCTTGAAACGTCGGGATTATAAAATAAGTTAATATATGCGATAAAATCCGTAAAATTTGTTTTATTTAAATGTGTAGTGTTCGCGTAAATTTAAGAAATCATTACGAATGTAAGAGTGTATGCATTAATCCTGTTAACACATAAAAAGGAAGTTTGCCGAGTTTTTTTGTAAACTGTGTTTCGTCATGTCAGTAAAAGTCATATCTAACTTAATGTTCATAGAAATGGCGTTTGATAACAGTAAATCTCATCACAATGCATTTACTAAGCGACAGTCCTGCTATCTTATACCAAAATAAGTCTATGTTTTATTTCATTGCGCACATTATTGCACCTGAATTGAACAGAATTGAACGCGGAAGGGAACTACGACGGGAAAAGTGGCATTGTGAGTAACAGATAACGCAATGGTTGTGGGACAAATTTACGGAACTAATAGACTGCTCACACGAAAATTATAAGAGGATTCAAATGTTTGCTGTAGATAACGTTGAAGTCGTTGGCCAATTGTTAAAATAAAGTAAATAAAATACATTCCAAAGAACAAAAGACATTCAGATTACTTAGAGTAGATATTCTTCAAACCTTTTTGCAAGCTATAAGTCTAAGCTGTTGAAAAAATCGGTTATATATATGTGGAACCCCAATTCGTAACAAATAAAGCTGAAATTGTCTAGTCGGGAATAAATACAATCACAAACTGCTTGTCAAATTTTTAACAGATCAATACCAAGTATTTTCGTTGTCTCCAGTCATGTCAGTTTTTTATATTTGCTTGCTACTTTATCAAAGATTTCCATAGCTATTACTTCAGAGACTGACAGCGGTCAATCAAGCGATTATACTCCAGAAAATCCCCAACTAAGACGATTTGATTAGTCACGACATAATAAATCATCGCCACTTAGGGATACACAAACTGCAAGTTCATTCGATTTTATACTATAGAGAAACAAAAATACAAAACCAGCTTTTTTGATAAGACTTATAACGACTTCTAAAGACAAAAGATTGGTTAAAGAAGAACCATTGTCGGTTCTCATCAGGTCGCATTTTTGACATCGAATGGGTAAACCCTTCGTCTTCCAAAGAAATGTTTAATTTTTTTTCGGTTCATCACATGATGAAGTTATTTACTTTGTATCCATTTTTGAAGTTATCGTTCCTACCTATTTAATTTTTTTTATCATCATTTCTGTTAACATTATAATTTTATTTTTGGTTTGCCTGTTGATTATTATTATAAATAAGATTATTGTTGATGTTATGTATGCACATATCTCACTAGTACACAGAATCACATAAATATTGTTAATATTTTTTAGATAGCTAAGAATTTTCTGTCAACATTTGCATGATTGTCCTGTTGTCTGTTATCAGCCATTTTTATAATTTCAATGATTTAAACTTCTTAATTGTTTAACGACCTTTAATTTCCGCTCCGTAATCTCATTGGTGTAAGATAATTAATGACTAAAATTGAAAAAAATATTAGGTTTTGTAGTATAACGCAGCTGCAGTATGGCTCTACCGCGTAAAGAACTGAGAGACTATTTAAAATATTTGTAAAATGATTTCTTACTGCCACTAGCCGCAATGGGTATTTAATCCTATACTTTTCCTAAGCAGCTGACTTGTTTTATTATTTAGATAAAAGCTTTTATATTGAGGTAATTTTTGACACAGAAGGTCAGAAGTTACAAGCAACAAACTAGCCAAATTTTTGTATCAGTTATTTAAAAAATAATATCAATGACAATAAATCACACAATTTCTGATTTATATAGAAGATATATAGTAACTTGAAGAACAAAAGTTAAAAGCAGATATTATATAAGAATAAGAATTATGAATAAGTTTACACAAATTTACATAATACATAATATGAATATCTATTACATCATAAAATGATTAATGTTATTTTACGTAAATGTCAAAGTAAAGTTAAGATTCCGTGTCCTTGATTTACATATATAGATTTTAATACCGTCTGTGACAGAAAACCAACGGTGCCCTCAAATCACCACATAGCTGAGTCATATGCCAATTGTTTTTCGATATCTTTTGATCCTGGGTGCATTCAAAATCAGGTATAAAAAGACTGTTTGTTCATTTTTCCCGCGAACTGTAATAAAAACTGATACCGCAAAATGTCTGCATACGCTTATTGTTTAAGTATAAATTTAAGGAAAGGCAGGTTTGAATATAAAATTTGTTTTAATATTGCATTACAACACCACAAATATAAATCGTAATAATAATTGTAATATTAATCGTAAATAATTGTATATAAATCGTAATGTTTACATTGTGAGTTTACTATGTAGATTCTTTCAAGAATCTTAATTCGTCTCGATCATTCTTAAGTTTAGGAACATTAATAATAGTTTGGTCAGTGTCGCCACAAGTTAATATCACCTCAGATTTTAACGGATTTTTGTAAGGAAGTAACACTCGAAGTAAGCCGTCCTCGAAGTACCATGTAGCATCGGTCGTTTTAACGGAGTCTGGCAAAATCCGCAAATCTTTAAATGTAACAATGCCATTTTCTTGCGCCGTGACATATATAACCCTATGTTTAATCACCACATTAATGCTGTTTTCCGTGAATTCTTGGAGATAATATTTGAGTACGTAGAAATCCAGCCCTTGGTACACTCGCGTTCGATTATGCACGCTCTTGGTACAACTGGTCTTAAGCAGATTGTCAGCAGAGATCACGCATTGAGCAAGACTTTCGAAATCATTGTCATCATTATGATGGTGATGCCATGAGTGTCTATGGTGACCATGTCCACCATAACAATGGTTGTGTTCATGATGCCAAAAACAAGACGCAAAGTTGACGAAAAGTAGAAATGTGATTAAACGGAACATTTCCTTACTTTGATTTCACAACTGAAACAATTTAAACCAAGACAACATTTATAAACGCGTTTATCTTCGACACAAAATGAACCTTAACCTATGCTAAGATAACAAGAATAAAATATAACGTGGGTTTTTGCTCGGGAAAAACATAGTTTTAGCAATATTATTGTATGATGTTATTATTAACCAACCTCAATATACAATTGATTGGGTTGTTGACACCATCATTGATACATTAATATTATAGAATTTAAAGAACAATGGCCAAATTTCTTTAGGAGCTGGACTTGACTTTTATTTTTCATGTCCCAAAACAAGCTATAGCTAGATTGGTTTGTTTTTATGTTGTAAGCACCATCCCGTATGAAAATCATATCTAAATAGCCACAATTTTTTATAACAACGTCAACAATACTTTTGAGGTTAGCATCACATATGTAATCTTTTTCAGTGATATAAAATAAGAATTAGATTTGTATTATGATGTACGATTGTATGTGATGGCTTATGTTAGTGTAATAAAAAAGTAGGTATGTAAATATGTACTATTATTCAAGAATTCCACTCGCGGATCTTAGAAATTACGCTGGTATCAAGCTCAAAAACGAGATGACGGCGAAGTGTATCAATGCATATGTTACAATTAACACATAGCAATCGCAGGGCTAGTTGTCGTTGTTGTGTAGCTGTAGTCTGCATGATGTCTCTCACAAATATGCAAGATGTAAAATCGGTGTCCAGAAATCGAAAGCACAGAATAATCGTTACAAGTGGTAGTTATCAGTCCGTAAAACAATGCCGAGGTCAAAACAACAGAAGGAAATCTAAAATAGTACACTACGTATCACAATCCACAACGAATGAAGCAAATAAGATATATAGATATGTAGATGATTGCCGGGTGACAATCAATGTCGATCGATGACCACAGATTATGTAACTTGACGATGACACATGATGTCCCGTTGTACGTAATGGAACAAAACGCTTAACTTACTATGAAGCTACATTATCATTTTTTTGGCATGAATCCAGTACATAATAAATCAGTATATTAGTTGATTTGATTCCTTTATACTAATTTAATTAAATTTCAATTAACAACTATTCAGAAAAACGTGAATCTTTGAATACAAAGTCCTTTCATACGTGAAATGAATCGTCATTAGGTGCGTTCCAGTGCGTTCAGAAACTATTATTTTAAATAATTTCAGAACAGTTAAAAAAACAAAAATAAAAGGATAACTTTTTTTGTGGCTACTTAGAGAGGTATATTTTGTGTTTTTTAAAAACTTAGAAAATAAGGCTATTTTTCATAAATATTTCATATAGTGACGCCATCGTTTCATCGTCTGATACGATTTGGCCAAACTTCTTTGCTACTTTAAGTCGTGACTTAAAACTTAGTCAATTAACATTGATAGGATGACAAACGAGCACACAGTCCACCTGATGTTAAGTGGTTGCTGTGGCCCATAGACATCTACATCTATCCTCATTTGCGAATCAAAACTTAGATGCGTTGTCACCCGTGAGGACTAAGATGGAATGCCTCTTTTCCAGTAATAATGGTCTCCGGTAATCTAAACTCACCATACAAAACACAGCAGTGTTAAGCTGCCATTTTACGCTGGTATTCTATGAGAGCGTGGTCCTTCCCCGGTCGAGCCGACCCACTCGCGCTACAACTATACTACTAATATAGCTGCAGCATGGCTCTGACACGTATAAAATTTGATATTTATTATTTAAAAATATGCAAATAAGATGATACTTTGACTCTATTATACTATGAAATTATTACAAAAAATTGTTTCTTTTAACAATTTCAAAAGTTTTTTAGTTAATTTACTTACAGAAGAAGAAACAATTCAATAAATAATTTATCAAATACGAGTGCATTTTAATATCTGTAACACAGTCATCCAAGATTAGTATTTTTATTAAAAAAGAGTATACAGTATAAAAAAAGATTGTTATTTATTCTTGAGAAATGCAGTTTTACTAACGATGCCGTTATCACCGACGAGAACATGCTAAATCAGCATTTAAAATTGTAATTAACAATTTCGTTCTGGCGGCAGGGATCAAACCCCTTTGATTGTAATGAGTCCAAAAATTTTAATTCAAAGTGTTTTTAGATAGCTCGTACTTGATTAAGTTTTTATCAAAATAGAAAAATGTACTGGGTGGCAGAAATAGTTACCCTCTTTCCTATTTTGATTCTGCCTCCACTGCCGCCACTTTCTATCGCTCCATAACTCTAAGCCTATTAGACTGTTTTAGTTGTTCTTTTTTATACGACAAACAATTTAGTTGGATAAAAAATTTGCCAAGTTACTAATTCAATAACAAAAAACGCAACCAATTTTCTTTTAAATCAACTGAAGAACGTTGCACATTACTATAAATATTATTAAAGGAATTGTAGGAACTTGGTGTCCATTGAGAACTCAACTCATTTAACGGCAAAACGAAACGGGATTTCATCCAAACCCATTTTACCTTCTACTTCTTCTTCTTTACCATCCCAGAAAGTCTACAGCAGGACATGATCCTCTCTCCTATACCCGATTCCTATATTTAAGAAAAGTTTCGTTGTTCGTAACGATCCGTTTTATTTCATAGGAAGTGCATATAAAACAGTTTATATTAAAAAACAGTGCTTACAGCAACATAGAATGATTTAAAATGAAAAAAAAAAACTTTAATAAACCATTAACAGTCAAACTGGTATTTTGCTTTAAAATTGGGGTTTTCATAAACTTCATTTACTGCAAAACAGCTCGTAAAAGAAAACGAGACATTTTTAAATATAGAAACCCGGCATTAACCGTGACTCTGCTGCTCGTATGGGTATTTGACGCTGAATTAAAAGAGACGATTATATACCTAAAGTTGTCTGATACGACACCCTCGCGACGAAATAGGGTGATGTATATACACCGCCACCATAAGATAGTGTATCGAATACTACATAAAATGACATCACAATGCTGTCGTTTTGTATGTTGAGTGACTTGAACTGGAGACCCCTTTTTCTGGTGTCGTAGGTATCTACGGGTGCCATAATCTTGAAACAATCTGACGTAGACTCTGTGTTCGTACATCTACCTCACTTCATCAGCATCGTCATATCATTATTACAGCCAATCAAATTCCCCAGCCAAAAGTAGGACTTCCCCGTAGATAGATCTATCTCATAAAAGAAGTATTGGCTTTAGTTGCCACCTTTAGCATGCGGGTTACAAAAGTTGTTAGGTTATTTTTTACGTCGCCACAGGCGATGCAAAATAAAGGCTAATTAATAATTTTCGCACTGTCATATTTTATAAATTTGAATAACCGTTTTTTTCCATGGCACCGGATATTCTATTTTATGTTAATATTAAACACATTCCAGGTAAATCCATTCGCTTTACTAAAATTTACAATTTTATCGGTATTTGCGCTCGTTCGTTATTTTATAGCTCATTTTAATGCATTTTAAATGAATCAGGTTTATCCCATAACAGTCCCTGTCAATAATGTAATCGAATTTTTGATAAAATGTTTTGTTTCTACTGTAACAATATTGTAACCTTCTTTTTTAAGCTCCAGTTATAAACGAACTTACATTTCACCTGATAATAAGTGGCTGCAGTCCAAAAACACCTTTTGTTTACATGGGAAAACATTCCAAGGCCTCCAATATCATTTACAAAACAGATCCCCCCCAGTCAGATACGTGGAGGTCATGGGAACAGGAAAAACAAATATCAGCGTTCCTGACCCCAGCGGCGGTTCTGGTCCCAAATTACTCCCGCGGAGGGTAGACAGAGTGGCGCCTCGCAATACCTACACTCCTCTCCCCCCGCGGCCTCGCTTTGGATTTGGCGGTAGTGGGAGAGGACAGCCTACTCACTTCATTTCACCAACACACATTCGAAGTAGGCTCGCCAACCCCAGTCGGAGTGAAGACCTCGGGCCAGCTCCAACCAATATCGACACCTGCCTAGCTAACTTCAATCAAAGAAGGCTACAGATGCGCTGTCACTTCTGCGGACTAAGATGAAATGTCTGACAGCAGGCCTCTGTCACTCTTGCTACCTGCGTGAAATAATTACCTACAATCGCGAGCTGCCCCAGAGGTAGATCGCAGTCGGGGCTAACGCGCTCTAGACAATTGAATGTTAAATTTTTTTAACGCTGTTTACGTAAATAATTTTTTGTAAATACTTGTTGAAATACTCGTCGAAATAGTTTTTGTTTAGTGTTTATTTTTTTTTTAATTATAGGATAAATTATAGTTCTGCCGTTCAGAGAATGCGTTCCTGACACGTTGCGATTGAACTGACGACGTAACTTTGTAATGGCGTTGCAGTTACGATAAAAATATTTTTGCTGGTTGTTTACCGTTTTAACAATTGATGAGTATTAAAACAACATTATTATATCAATAATCAATGAATGTTATAATTTTGTGCCAAACTGAGTGTCAAATAACTTGGTAAACAATATTTTTCTAAATCTATACTGCGCTATTACAAGGTTATTTCAGCGCTTTATATTTGTAGTGCTGTGCTAACAATAACAGGCAATAACAGTATCGTAATCTGTTCTTATACAGTTATACTTTATAAAATAATACGTTTTGTTTTTCTTTTTAAGAATTTGAAAATAATGGACTACAAGATAACTTTTATTAAATATAAAAATAAAACTACGAATTTTTTAAGTAACCGAAGTATAATGAAAGGTAAATCTATTTCATTTTTTTGTTAGATAGGTACTTATAGCGAAAAATAATTAAGTAATAATTAAACTACAGTAGTAATACCGAAGTACTTTATTGCAAAACTTAGTTGAAATTTACTTCACTCCCCAATTACCTACTTACATACCTATACTCGTCTTTGTAATTAAAATATTTTAAGTTATAATAGCACAAAATACTGAAATTAAAACTTTCTTAACAAGATTTTTAACTAAATAAGTTACGATCATATTTCTGTTAGAAATCGTAT